TCCGGCGCGGCTCGGTGGTGGATAAGCTCGGGTGGACGGTGGAGCCATGTGGAGAGTGGTCCATCCGCCCCGGAGGAGATGGGTGAGATGGCAGGAGGGTAGAGTTTATCGAGAGTGCGTGCAGCGTGAGGCAGCGAACTCACTCGTTTCTGTCTGTGGGCGGCTTTCCGTCTGTGTGTGTATGTGTGTGTGTTGGGTTGTGGGTGACTGCATCCGCCTGTAAACCACTCTAAGCGGATTCCACAGATGAGGGCAAGTGTCCGTGTGGTCACAAACCAGACACTCCGTAATCTGTTGATGTATCTCGACAGTGCCGGCTGTGACACGGACCGGACCTTCATATTACAGGGACCGGTCCGCCACTTCACAGCAGCTCCACTGCCAGGGGCCCTTCCCACGGCGGCACGCTGGCTTTAACGAATATGCGCTCAGAAAGCGGAACAATTCCTTGGCTTTACTTCATTCCTCAGGTTTGGAATGGTGGAGCATTTTAAGAAATATTTGGATGCGGCGCGTATGAAAACGACATCAATATCGGAATGTTTGAAAACCATCCGAATGCCCAAATGTTCGTATGTCTGCTAGGAAAACGATCACGAGATTTACGAAAAGTGTTAGTGTAAACGTTTGATACTTAGCATTTTGTTCCGAAGTCGCTATTTGTGATGAGAGGAGGCTGAGTGCTGGTCCTCTGACACCGGACTAGATTCGTGCACAGCATGAACTGCGCCGCATGGCTGGCCTCTGACCCCTCCGACCCCTCTGACCGTGGTTGGCCTGTGCACCGGACGTCCGAACTCCCATTGGGCCTGTGTCGAACTAACGATTCCGGAACGAACGGAACTGTTGTAATGTTGAGGTCAGAAGGCTTCCATCTGGAAATGTTCTGTGAGATTCAGGAGATGTCACAGTTGGACGCGCATAAAATACACTCAATTACTTGATTTAGTGCTTTAGGTTGTTTTGTTTTCACATGTAGAGAGAATGATGTTGATCCGCCGTGATCCCATTCGTCATCCAGCTGAAAAAGCGTACGCGCGTGCGTAAGTGCGTGTGTGCGTGCGTGCGTGCGTGCGTGCGTGCACGCGTGCGCGCCTGTGGGCGGGCGGGCGGGTATGTGTGTATGTGTGCGCGTGTGTGTGTATGTATATACACATATATATATATATATATATATATATATATATATATATATATATATATATATATATATATGTGTGTGTGTGTGTGTGTGTGTGTGTGTGTGTGTGTGTGCGTGCCTGCGTGCGTGTGTGTGTGCGTGCGTACGTTGGTGTGTGCGTGTGCTTAGTTCCCTATACATCTACCGGAATTCGTGTAAAAACTCGGAGCACCCCAATATAATGCTCATATAACAAAATTGGAAATCATATAATGGACGATTCAAACTGGGAAAAAATCACGACCTGTATACAAATCCAGAGGACTGAAACAGAATGCTTGGGTAAACTACCCGAACCCTTCGGGTGCCGAAGCCGAACCAGGTGCTCAGCCGAGGCCCGCCCACTTCACCGGTCGTCCTCCGCTGTGCAGCATCCTTTCGTCAGGTTCCAGCGGACCGGTGCGCTCGCTGCGTCGTTTCGCTCGGAGCGCGGCGTGGGTCTAATTTGGCCGAATCCGAGCTAGTCCCGCGCGACGGCGGCGGTCTGGTGAGCTGATCCGCCGCAGATGTTCGCTGGCCGGGTATTAGTTGCCTGATGACGCACGGCATGAGCCGCGAGCTGCGGGCGGAACCGGGACATGTGTCCTGCTGACTGTCGACACTGGATGCAAACGTGGGCCGACGTCATCCACAACAGCTGCTGGTTAGCGAATCATAACATCTCGCGCTGGTACCCTGCAGCCAGAATTGGGGTCGCGGCAGCATGCTTTGACTCGGCGCGTGGGAACGGAGGCAGGAGTGTTTAGATCACATCATCGCATACCTGCGTCCAAGTCACGCGATTCTCGATTCGAGTGGCTGGGCTGGTGGCTTGTCGGGCTCACTTGATGTGAGCAAGTCTGCAGGCATGGGATTTGGCGAAGAAGTCAATGCGAGTCAATGAGTCAATCTGGAGAGATTTTACAACTGATTCATTTTAATGAATTATTTAAGATTTCTACAAAGGTTACTTTGACTTAGTGCCCGAGGCATCGGAAACATAACTGAGCGCAACATTTTACATGCAATCTGTTTCGTAAGAAGTCATCACTATTGACTGCATTAAATGCGATTGAGCTCGTCGGTTTTCATCAAGCAGATCTCTCTGAAACACTCATCCGGTGCATAAGGAGCATTCCTCAAGATCGAAAGCTGCGTCGATTGCAAGCTGCAAGGAATGTATCGATTTTTCTTCCAGGTTAGCCGCGCATTTACCGAAACTGCAGTTGAGCATTGCCTGGCATGACTCGGCACTGAAAATCTTTCTTGTTGATTTTCGAAGTGCACTTTTCTTTTGGTACGTCTTCAACTACACCAGCACTTTCATGTTTTTGAGGCTGTGTCAAACTCTCCGTGGTCCTCGATATGCGAGGCTTTATTGAATGTGCATCCTACCTCCGGCAAGTCTGCCATTCAATCCTGACAAAGCAAGCCTTGTTCGATCTTGACGCTGACGACATTATCCTTTTTCTTAACCGATCGATTACCCTCGACTGCTCCTCGCCGGGATGCGTCCCCGAAGTCCCTCTCCTGGTGGCATGACGGGGGTGCCGAGTCCTCCGGCCAGCCGACCGACCAGCAGCAGGGCGGCAGGTGGACCCGGGCGCACCCCTCTGCGGGACTGCCCTGACCCGGTGGCACCCCTCTGCGGGGCTGCCTTCACCCGGGGCACCCCTCTGCGGGGCTGCCCAGACCCGGGGCACCCCTCTGCGGGGCTGCCCTGACCCGGGCGCACCCCTCTGTGGGGCTGCCCTGACCTGGGCGCACCCCTCTGTGGGGCTGCCCTGACCCGGGGCACCCCTCTGCGGGGCTGCCCTGACCCGGGCGCACCCCTCTGCGGGGCTGCCCTGACCCGGGCGCACACCTCTGTGGGGCTGCCCTGACCTGGGCGCACCCCTCTGTGGGGCTGCCCTGACCCGGGCGCACCCCTCTGCGGGGCTGCCCTGACCTGGGCGCACCCCTCTGTGCGGCTGCCCTGACCCGGGGCACCCCTCTGCGGGGCTGCCCTGACCCGGGCGCACCCCTCTGCGGGGCTGCCCTGACCTGGGCGCACCCCTCTGCGGGGCTGCCCTGACCCGGGCGCACACCTCTGCGGGGCTGCCCTGACCCGGGCGCACCCCTCTGTGGGGCTGCCCTGACCCGGGGCACCCCTCTGCGGGGCTGCCCTGACCCGGGCGCACCCCTCTGCGGGGCTGCCCTGACCTGGGCGCACCCCTCTGCGGGGCTGCCCTGACCCGGGGCGCACACCCTCTGCGGGGCTGCCCTGACCCGGGCGCACCCCTCTGTGGGCTGCCCTGACCTGGGCGCACCCCTCTGTGGGGCTGCCCAGACCCGGGGCACCCCTCTGCGGGGCTGCCCTGACCTGGGCGCACCCCTCTGTGGGGCTGCCCTGACCTGGGCGCACCCCTCTGTGGGGCTGCCCTGACCCGTGGCACCCCTCTGCGGGGCTGCCCTGGAACCCGGGCGCACCCCTCTGCGGGGCTGCCCTGACCCGGGCGCACACCTCTGTGGGGCTGCCCTGACCTGGGCGCACCCCTCTGTGGGGCTGCCCTGACCCGGGCGCACCCCTCTGTGGGGCTGCCCTGACCTGGGCGCACCCCTCTGTGGGGCTGCCCTGACCCGGGGCACCCCTCTGCGGGGCTGCCCTGACCCGGGCGCACCCCTCTGCGGGGCTGCCCTGACCTGGGCGCACCCCTCTGCGGGGCTGCCCTGACCCGGGCGCACACCTCTGCGGGGCTGCCCTGACCCGGGCGCACCCCTCTGTGGGGCTGCCCTGACCTGGGCGCACCCCTCTGTGGGGCTGCCCTGACCCGGGGCACCCCTCTGTGGGGCTGCCCTGACCCGGGGCACCCCTCTGCGGGGCTGCCCAGACCCGGGGCACCCCTCTGCGGGGCTGCCCTGACCCAGGCGCACCCCTCTGTGGGGCTGCCCTGACCTGGGCGCACCCCTCTGTGGAGCTGCCCTGACCCGGGCGCACCCCTGTGTGGGACCGCCCTGACCCGGGCTGGGCAGGGAGGTGACCCCAGCTGTGTCTCTCTGCGGGCCGCCACTACCATGAGTAGGCTTGGGAGACGGACCTGGAGGCTGGCGCTGTCCCCGCGTCGGACCGCTCCGCTCCAGCGATCCCGGTCTTCGTTGACTCCTTGCCCGCGCAGGCGTACTGGCTGGAGGGTGGCCGGCGGCAGCGGATGTTCTGCTCGGCTGGCTTCGGCTTTGACTCGCCCCTGACCTGACCTAGTTATGAGGTCCTTGTCGGGTGCGGCTGGGGCTGCCCGTGGAGTTCGGCAATTGTCTGTGGACTTCAACCGGAGTTGCCTGCGGAATCCGGCGGGATTTCTGTGGAGCACAGCCGTGCTTCCTGAGAGTCGAGAAGGATTTGATGTAGACTTCAACTGTGGCATTAGGTGGAGCTCACTTCTACTTCTTCTTTTACTTCTACTTCATTAATACTTCTCTTTATCCACGCAAAACTACCAACAGGCATACAAATTCATTACAATTAAATCCACTGCCCTCATCGTAACCGTCATACATGTCCCAGCTCACATTCATTCTCCTCCTTATCTCCTAACGGACCTCCTTTCCACCTAATCCGACTTCCGTCGCAGCCAAGTCCCAGCACACGCCCACGGCCGCCTCCCAGCCGTCACGGGCCGTGACGGCTCCCGGTGGCTTCGGCGGCGGCGGCGGCGGCGGCGACGGCGGCGGCCGCTCGCAACTGCTTCACGCCTGGCTGGCTGTGACTTTCCCGGGCCCGTGCCAGCGCCAGGTGGGCGCGCCTTTCCCGCCCACCGCCGCCGGCGGAAAGGCTCGGCCTAGCCGGTCGACTCTCAGACGGAGCCACACTTGACGCCGGTGAACGCTGCTGGGTGGAGGTGTGCGCTCCCGCTCCGTCCCGCTTCGTCTCGTTGCTCGCGGGCGGCGGTACTGTGAGCTCGTGCGGTGTTCGCTTGGTCTCAGCGAGCGGAATTTGCCTCGAAAGTGAGGTTGCTACGCGGTCGCACTCAGTTGAAGCCTTGCTCAGTTTGTCACTCTCACTGTAGCGTTTTTTCGCACGTTGATTTGGTTGGTCAGGCTTGTTCCTCAGCATTAATTTCGTTCTTCAGCAAATGCCAGTTGAAGCCCCCTGCTTGTCTGATAGGTTCGTTTTGTGCGATAACTTTTCCGACCTCCATCTCGTCAAGACCACGTTACACTCCTTCCATGCCGTAATTTTGATAGTCTAGCATTGAGCTGTGGCTAGCTGATTGCTTTTTGTATCCATCACAGCTCAACGTTTGCAGCCGGGCACAGGTTTCAACTGCGTGCGACCCTCGTGTATAAAGGCAGCGGGTCATTCGGTGCAGGAGAGCGTCCAAAACCAAGCTAGCCATGCCGATCATGTCGATATGCCGCACGCCCGACTCGGACGGGTGGGAAGAGCTGCAGGACATGAGCTTCATCCAGCCCTACGTGAGTACAGCAGCGTCGCCACGAGCGTTCAATGTCGCGCGAGGCCAGTTTTGGGCCGCGGGCCGGCCTGGTGCGAGGACGTAGCCGGCGCACGGCTGGCACTGTCCGCTGATGACTGGCGCACCAGGGCCTGTGTGCGTCATCGTCGGGACGTGCGCACCTGACGCAGGGTCGGCAGCCTGTGGAGGCTCTGGTCTGTCGCCCCGGGCTGCCGCGCATCTTCAAATTTACGAAACCAGTTCTTTGCTAGTCAGCTATCGTCCTCATGCGCGCATACATGCATCTCAGACAGCATGCGTGTAGCTCACGTATTTTCAGCGCTCATATTATTGGAACGTCACACCCGATGGCGTGGTGGGCTTGGCAAAATTGCACCTTCCAGCAGAGCCAGACGAGTACCTCGGCCGCTACTTATCGGCGCCTCATTGTTTCAACGGGACTTCCCGTTAGTCCGCTGCTGAACGGTTTCAACGTGAACACACAAGTGCTGGGCAAACCATCGCCTTTGCTCGAGCATGTCAGTTCCAAAACGTTTCATCCACTGACGGGCCTTGATATCGGTGACGTGAAAGGCAACGGATGAGACACGATAGGTTAGTCTTAAAGCACGCTGCGGATGCATAGCAAGGTAACGTCAGTCAAGACAATAGAGGCAGGGATTTCAGTTTCGGCCGAGGCTCCAGCCATGATCAGAAAGCTTGCACGTGTGGCGACTCTGCTAAAATATTTTTGTCTGGGATAATGTTCCTGTGTTGGTGGTGCAAAGGATGTTTGTAATGAGAGATTTAGAGCACATGGGTGAAGGAAGGAATATCTAATGCACCGTGTTTGGTATGAACATAAAGCCGCTGGTGCAGAGAACTGTCCAGTAGGTGACCGAGAAGTGTTACGACACAATTTTCTTTGAAAATAAAACAATAGGTTGATCCTATCAGTCAAAACTCAGTATTTTTACCAAGAATAACACTGTTCCCACATGTTCGGCACGTTCCATCAGTGTGACGGTGCAACTTCCTGCCCAAAAACATGCAGCATGAACAATGGAGTTCGGCAGGGCTCTTAGATTTGGCAGGTTGCTGTTGCTCCGCTAGCTACAAACGCATACCACGACGTCGTTTTACACCTTTGCGTAGAAATGAAAGGAATCCAGCAAAATAAGCAACCGTATCGAAAACAGACAGCTGCTGTGTTTTTAGGACATGATTCTCAACGACCGCATATGCGGCATTACTTTGTCCGCATGGTCGTAGCAGTGACGCCGGGAAAACGCCATTCGTTAATTAAAGGGGATGTTTCACATTAAAAGATGTTAAAGCAGGCATCATATATGATGAAACAAGCTCACTTGTAGGTATTGGTATTCGTTTTCAGTAAAAAAGACTGCTCCATACAGCATGATTCTCTGTTAAGTAAACATACTCCCCTAATGCGTCATGGTTTGATGACGTCATCTTACCTTCTACGACATTGAGAGCCAATTGACGGCCGTTGTATCGGTAAATCACGCTCACGAACGCCAGATATGAACGCCCGACAGTTCTATCTTTTAGCCTTGATCACTACATGGCTTATGAAATGACAGGATGTGGAGTACGTTATTATGACGTCATGAACGCCAAGATGACTTAGAAATACTCCCCCGGTATACCCTTCCCCATTTTCGTGGGCGTGTAGCTCAGCAACTAAAGCGGCTTAGGTCTTAATAAGGGTAGAATGGTGAACAGCACTGAAATGTCTTCATTATAGCAATATCAGTTCAAAATCTCATAGCAATGTGGAACACTCCGTTTAATCTATAACTCGTGTTGTGGTGCTCGGTCGTCAGTTATCATGCGCCTTGATAGGTCGGCCTTCGTAACACGTGCACAGGCAGGCGTCGTCAAAGAACGGGCCGCATCCGTGAGGCGTGGGGGCTGTGACCAACTGTGGATAACGCACGATTTGTTCGCATTGCGATGGCATTCATCCGCTGCCGATGGCGATGACACCCTGGCCACTGAGAAGGCCACCATCAGCAGCCAACAGGCCTCAGCCGTCGGCCGCTGGCGATGGCGATGTACGCCCTGGCCACTGAGAAGGCCACCATCAGCGGTCGCCAGGCCTCAGCCATCGGCCGATGGCGATGGCGATGACACCCTGGCCACTGAGAAGGCCACCATCAGCAGCCGCCAGGCCTCAGCCGTCGGCCGATGGCGATGGCGATGTACGCCCTGGCCACTGAGAAAGCCACCATCAGCAGTCGCCAGGCCTCAGCCATCGGCGACTGACCTTGCTCAAATCCACCACTCAGTCACCGCGCACGAACTGTGAGGCATTGTGCCTAAACATTGAAATGCTTAATGCGGAGCTCAGCATTTGACGAAATGAATCAACGGTTGTTGTTCCTCCATTGCGAAGCATGCAACAGACTAATGATGCTCTTTTGTTGCCCAAGAACTAGCACAAACATGGCTACGAGCCTTCTCGCTGGTTAGATTTACAGCCGCTCATTATCGCCGGACCAAGGGCTGTGGGCTCAGCCTCTACAGCATAGCGAACCACTGAAGCAGTGAAGTTTTTGTCCCGTGTCCGTCCCAGTATAACATCGGAATGGATCGGTCGTTTAGTTTCCTACCAGAGGGCCATTAACTTCAGCGATCATGGCTATAGACGGTCGCTTAGATGAGCCAGGTGTGGGCGTGATCTGACGACTCATCATTATTCCAGCTGTCGGTCTATAAAACGCCGCCACAAATAACCCCTGTCCGAGTTTCTAGGCCATCTGAGACGTTGCTGGAGGCGGACCATACACGGTTGCCGGTGATAGGACCGGCTGGGCGTCCCATTTGTAGACAGCGCTATGCATGGTATACTACTAGTTATGAAATAGTTAAGAAGCGCCGCAAAATAAATTATCTGGATGGGGATATATGCTACTTTTTTGAGAGCATTTTCTGCCCACAACGAATGTTGTCTCGCGTCTATTCGTGGTACCTGCGAGCAGGAAGTTCATGTCCAGGGCAGATCCAGAGCACAGCTTCAGACAAAAATACTCTTGAGTGAATCGTGGGCCTCAAATCCGAGGAGTGTGATGGAAGTGATGAAATCGGTGTCGCTAATATCCGCTAGCGACTGATCGCACTCAGCACGTTTCGCATAGCGACTCGTAGTGGAACTGGACGAGGAAAGTCAGGAAACTATAGAACAGAGACGCCTGTGTTTTATGATTGGAAACAGGCCGAATGTCGAGATGGATACATTCATAAGTTTTTCAGGATAGACGGACTAAAACCAGCCAACTTGCTATCCACATGACGTGCATCTTCTCTTCAGCGATGGGTGAATCACGACATGGCCCCCATGGTCCCAGGGTCCCATAAGTCACAGCTTCCATCAGAAAAGCGTGCGTTCGTGGCCTGGACACCGTCCCGCTGCCGTAGGCTAGGTTCGGACATGAAACAGCCGCTGAGCAATTTTCTTTGGCCATCGCAGCATTTAGCCTCGAACCCCAGCTTTTACTTCAGGTTTTCCCAGTGCCTCGTTTACAGCATATTTACATACCAAGCCCACTCAGCTCGCTGCCACGACACGCAGTGTGCTACAAGTGTCCGCTCTCCCCAGCTTGAGTCTGCCACTCGGGATTCCCCGCCAACCCTGCACTATCTCCCGAAGGGCATCCCAGCGTTCGGAGCGGTGCGTACGTCCGGCGCGGCGACGCTGATGGAACTCGCCCCGCGTGGCGGCGGCGGCGTCAGCCATTGTTTTCTAATGGCGTCTGCAGCTGTCGCCGCAGCGCCGTCCGATTTCCCGGGGCCAGCACGCCAGCTGCAGCTGCGCCGCGCTTCGCTTTCGTCCTCTGGCGACCCAGTAACGGGCTGACACGGGCGCAGCCGGGTCCCAGCCGGGTCCCAGCCGCGTCCCAGCCGGGTCCCAGCCGGGTCGCAGCCGGGTCGCAGCCGGGTCGCAGTCTGGTCCCAGCCGGGTCGCAGCCGCATCCCAGCCGGGTCCCAGCCGGGTCGCAGCCGGGTCGCAGCCGGGTCGCAGTCGGGTCCCAGCCGGGTCCCAGCCGGGTCGCAGCCGGGTCCCAGCCGGGTCCCAGCCGGGTCCCAGCCGGGTCCCAGCCGGGTCCCAGCCGGGTTCCAGCCGGGCCGCAGTCGGGTCGCAGCCGGGTCGCAGCCGGGTCGCAGCCGGGTCCCAGACACCTGAGGCATTCGGGCGGGGTCGTCTGTCCAGCCTGCGCTCAGGCGCCGGCGTCCCTGGTGGCGGCGAGCTGTGGCGCTGACGTCCCTGGTGGTGGCGAGGTGTGGCGCCGACGTCCCTAGTGTTGGCGAGCTGTGGCGTTGACGTCCCTGGTGGCGGCGAGCTGTGGCGCTGACGTCCCTGGTGGTGGCGAGGTGTGGCGCCGACGTCCCTAGTGTTGGCGAGCTGTGGCGCTGACGTCCCTGGTAGTGGCGAGCTGTGGCACTGACGTCCCTGGTGGTGGCGAGCTGTGGCGCTGACGTCCCTGGTAGTGGCGAGCTGTGGCGCTGACGTCCCTGGTGGTGGCGAGCTGTGGCGCCGACGTCCCTGGTGGTGGCGAGCTGTGGCGCTGACGCCCCTGGTAGTGGCGAACTGTGGCGCTGACGTCCCTGGTGGTGGCGAACTGTGGCGCCGACGTCCCTGGTGGTGGCGAGCTGTGGCGCTGACGTCCCTGATGGTGGCGAACTGTGGCGCTGACGTCCCTGGTGGTGGCGAACTGTGGCGCCGACGTCCCTGGTGGTGGCGAGCTGTGGCGCCGACGTCCCTGGTGGTGGCGAACTGTGGCGCCGACGTCCCTGGTGGTGGCGAACTGTGGCGCCGACGTCCCTGGTGGTGGCGAACTGTGGCGCTGACGTCCCTGGTGGTGGCGAACTGTGGCGCCGACGTCCCTGGTGGTGGCGAACTGTGGCGCCGACGTCCCTGGTGGTGGCGAACTGTGGCGCCGACGTCCCTGGTGGTGGCGAACTGTGGCGCTGACGTCCCTGGTGGTGGCGAGCTGTGGCGCCGACGTCCCTGGTAGTGGCGAACTGTGGCGCTGACGTCCCTGGTGGTGGCGAACTGTGGCGCTGACGTCCCTGGTGGTGGCGAGCTGTGGCGCCGACGTCCCTGGTAGTGGCGAACTGTGGCGCTGACGTCCCTGGTGGTGGCGAACTGTGGCGCTGACGTCCCTGGTGGTGGCGAACTGTGGCGCCGACGTCCCTGGTGGTGGCGAACTGTGGCGCTGACGTCCCTGGTGGTGGCGAGCTGTGGCGCAGACGTCCCTGGTCGTGGCGAACTGTGGCGCTGACGTCCCCGGTGGTGGCGAGCTGTGGCGCTGACGTCCCTGGTGGTGGCGAGCTGTGGCGCTGACGTCCCTGGTGGTGGCGAGCTGTGGCGCTGACGTCCCTAGTGTTGGCGAGCTGTGGCATTGACGTCCCTGGTAGTGGCGAGCTGCGGCGCTGACGTCCCTAGTGTTGGCGAGCTGTGGCGCTGACGTCCCTGGTGGTGTCGAGCTTGGTCTGGCACGTGTCCGGGTCTTGCTGCGGTAACAACATTGTACCACTCAATGTCCTCCGCGATTCTCCGAACATCATCACACTCTCCTCCGAGCATCACCACATTATCCTTGCGGACGTCCTCATGGGTGTAGAACCATCAAAGAGCTGTGCTGACAGCTGTCGAGGGTGCGTCATCACCAGGTCACGGCAGTGGGCGAGTGCGGTCCGTAGAATTTCGCACATTCAAACTAACATGTATCATAATGCAAACTATGATTTCACCTAACATTTAAAATTTGATCATCATAAGCCGCGCCGTTTTTTGCATCGTTCCGTTCTTCCAATGCAGCGTCTTGAGATCTTTGAGCGCAACTATTCAGGGCAGCTTCGATGGCAGTCCATGCACAGCGCGGCGTGGAGGACCCTGACTGCGGCGGCCCACGCAGTCCCAGCCTCCGCTGCACCGGAGCCTGGCTGAGTTATCGATGTTAAGTCGTTCCGATAGTCCGTGGTGCAGTGATGGTTATCATCAGTGCCGCCTTTCAACCGTGCCTTCTTTGCCGAACAGCAGAGCGCTGTCCTCGGATTCGGCTGTGTCGAGAGTGCCACTGCTGAGCTTGCGAGAGAGACGGAAGGGAAAGAACGATCCAGATGCCGTGGAAGCCCGTGGAAAGAGGCCGCGGACTGATCTCGCAATTCTGGCGTGGTGTTTAATCGTTTCAAGACGTGGTTTGTCCCATAACTTTGACTCTGACAGTTTCCTTGACTTTTGCTAGGGTGCGAGAGGAATGCTCAAAGTTGTCCTTATTCGGAGGTTGTTGGGCTTTTGCTAGTGTGTGAGAGGAATGATCGAAGTCGTCCTTATTCGAATGGCGGGCGCTATAAGCCAGGCTGTGGTGCAGGCGCTTTTATCGGCGTGCGTCTGATGGCATTTGCTGCTCAAAATGACAACCGATTTATAAAGAAAGCTTTGCTATGTTATGATTCACAGGCTTGTACAGCCCACGCAATAACTTTTATTTGGGTGACGCATACTTTGTCAAGTAATTTTCCACACTTTCCGCACAGTTTTTATCGTATGCTGTCTTATGGTGAGCTGCTGTTGCGTTGTTGGCAGAGATAACACGGCAGTAAGTGAACCATAATGGCTTATGTTTATGTCTCGCAGGTCGTGCTTTTAACAAGCACATGAAGTGTGGAAACTCTTCCCAGCTCTTGGCTTGAAGGCCATTTGTTTTTATAGAACCATTTTTGTAAAGCCTGCCCGCTTCATAACAATTTTCAAGAGGAGATATCAGTGTTTGACGGCTCTATCCTACACGCGCACACACAACTTTCACGCTGGCGTCTGCCTGATCGCACACTCCAGTCCAGTTGGAGTCCGGCTGGAGCCGTTGTGGCGACACCGACAGCCTGACCAATGAGCCGACAGCCTGTGTACGCAGTTGTTTTCCATTGGTGAAGCTCGCCTGACCTGCTTTTGCACCTGGCTTCGTTCAGGAGCTGGAGTGTTACCAGCCTGGGTCCGTCGATATGAATCGGCTCCTTTGTCTTACTCCAGTCAGAGTTGGACTCATCGAGATTTGTGTTCGTTTAAAGCGTTGTTTTATCGTGACGGCTATCGGTATCATCACTATGAGTTGACTTCAGGGAACTTGATGTGTTGCACTGTCACCGAACATGGTCATAGTGTCTGTCTCCGATATGTTATCGGTCGCGCACACCCCTCCAAAGATGTGCTAGAAGCAAACGATATATGCGCGTCTTTCCCGCAGTCTGAAAATGACGTCACATCCGGACTTAAAGCATGCACCGCTACTGTTGACAAATGTGGCGCCAATGACTCAGCTGCAGCGCAGCGTGGGCGTCGGGGTGGTCCTGGTCATGCTGCTTGCCATGTAAATCAACACGCCCAGCTGTGCGCTGGACAAGCTTGTCGACGCATGGACCGCCATGTCCTGGTGACGTCAGATGTCGTATCGCAGGCATTGATAGTGTCACGAGATATTGACTCACTTTCCCTGGCCTAACGTGACGTATGCGTGCGTGCGTTCTGCCTGGAGACGCCACACACTTGTCTTACCGCGCCTGTCACATACAAGACGAACCGCCTCCACCCGATTGTACTGTCTATTGCTTTATCTCTCCGTATGTTGGTTCCAGTCCTGCAAATGCTTGCGCAATGTGCTCTGCGCACACATCATTTCCCAAACATTCAGCATCTCGACGCGACCGTGTCGTGGCCAGTGCTGTTGCCAGGTTTTTGGGCCCTACGGTCGTGGCTGAAGCGGCAACAGGCGTGCGGGGCTAAAAAAAAAAACTTTACTATCATGCCCCCATCTTCGCCGGATTTCGGAAAAGTACCCCGAATTAGTGTGTCTCAGTTCGACGCTTCTGGACGGCCGGGTGATGACCCACTGCCCTCCTCCCCTCCCGTCCTGGCGACGCCCATGGTCACGCCCCACCGCGGTCCACACATAACGTGGGGCGACTCGACTGGTGCGGTGAGTCGGCGCGTCACGGCCGGGACGCCGCCGCCGCTGGCCGGGTCATGGGAATACACGGTCGGCAGCCATCCGGCGGCCGCGGAATTCCCTGTGAGCAGGCGCGGGGTTCGGCGACTCGGCCTGTGATCAGCTGACTGCTGTTGTTAGCAGCCGATCCCAGCTACCTGGGGTTGCTGGACCAATTGGGGAGCTTGCGGCGACACTCTTCTGGTGGCTACACACAGACGGTAGCGGCAGAGCTTGTCGTTCAGGGTGAAAGAAAGGTGCAGCCTGAACAATGACGCCTGGAACGCCGGCCTGGAACGCCAGCCTGGAACCTGGCTCAAAAAGAGAGAGAGAAAATATTTCGAGCATTAGGAATTCAGGAGCGAGGAAAGTTTTCACGGCCGCAGTTCAGATTCTCCAAGAGTTATAGGGCAAACTAGCTGGAAAGGCGGGTACAACATGAAATAACGGAATACATGTACCTAGCGTATGTCCGATACAAAGTTCACCAGCAGGACGCCTGACGCTGCACGTTCCACCGAGCTCAGTGATGACATGCCGTCCAGTCCAGCAATGTTGCCGTGTCCCGCGGCGTCATTCCACGCGTGCTTCGGTGGCGGCGTCACGCTCGGCTCCAGCAGACAGCGAACGGCCACTGTTTATACCGCTCGTTAGCCGTTTATTTTCCGGTCCGGGTGGCGCTGGGAGATCGCGGCGAACATCCGTGCTGTGCCGCCGTTCGAGCCCGGGCCAGAGTAGGCAGCGAGCTGCCGCGTGAGCAGCGGCCAGCCTCACCACGCGTGTAGCGAGGCAGTGCCATGAGAGGCACGTGCTGTCGCGAGACCTTGTTGCCGTTATATTTGCAGGGCGTGTGATGTTTCGCGCGATGCGTGGGTGGGGCGCTAGAGCAAAAAACAGCGATAAAACAAAGAAATCCGTAGCGAGGAAGAACAGTTCAATCCACTCCGCTGCAACCGGCGGCCAGGTCCGTCGATTGTCACGGAGGTATTTTGCGGCGTTTAGTGGCTGTTGGTCTGGTCGACAGTCAGCCTTTTAAACGGCGGCAGAGGAAGACAATCGATTAAATACATTCCCAGCATGCAACGCCACAGCATTGGAACCGTCCAGTCCACAATCGATCGAGGAAGACAATCGATTATATATTTTTCGTAACGTGCAGCACCACAGCATTGGAGCCGTCCTGTCCAGAGTATGCTACCCCCAGTCCGAAATGGCCCCTCGAACCCCAAGGTCCCGTGGTGAGCAGGCGGCGCTGCATGGCTCACTCGGGCCGACACCACCTGGAGCGGGTGGCTGACCTCCGGCCTCTGTTGCAGCTGGACAAGATGAACGGGTCCGGCCACGGCACTAATGGGTCTGCTGGGACGCCGGACGATGAGCGAGCCTGGACCATCGGCGTCATCAACTCGCGTGCCAAGTATCTCACTGCGGAAACGTTCGGATACAAGATCAACGCCAACGGTGGGTGAAAGGCGATTGGCGGCGCACGTACATTGATACATTATCCCAGAGCTGGATACCCAAGCTGGCGACCCAAGCTATAATACCTTCTCTGCTGACGTGATTGTCTGGTTACATGGGTAAAGGTATACTCAGGTACGTGTGTGATTTGGAAAACTGTCTGGCAGCGGTGGGATTCGAACCCACGCCCTTTCGGACTGGTGCCTAAAACCAGCGCCTTAGACCACTCGGCCACGCTACCACGGAGGCCTGGCGTGTCGGGTTGCGCAAGATTGGAAGCGAATTAGCAGCCGCTTGCCTTTTGACTTTTCTTGCTGGATTCCGGGCATGTTTCTTTGTTTGTGGGTCTCTACATCAAGCAAGTGGTGTTTATTGAAATTCCAAGCCGGAGCTCCAAGCCTACACTCGCATTTTGTCAAGATACACTCACTGCGAACTGTCAGCATGTGTGGCTTTGGGTTTAGCGTACCTGCTATGCGTGGACGCATGCCTCTGACTAGGCCCGTTCTAATGGTGGCGAATTTCTACGACCGTAGCCCCATGCAGTAAGCGAACGGCCACCGCCGCTTGGTGGTGGCGCTGCTTTCGAATCTGCGGACAACACTGTCCGTGCACCGTCACTCGTTCAGGATAAGGGATTAGGGTAGATTGATTGGGGCTGGAGCTGAAACAATAAAGTTCTCTTGACCTACTCCCAAATCCTGATTTCTCCCCGGATTCCAGCCACTGCTGTTTTCGTTCCGGATGTTGAAATTTGAAATAATGTTTGTCTAGCTCTGAAACTGCTTTGATGTTGAGCAATACCACCTCATTTGGAGCCGACGTGATTGTGATGATGAGTATGTATGATGATGATGGTATCGATGGTAATGTGTTTAGGTACTTAGCGTATCAGCACTTCAGACACTTGCTGCATTTCATATGCCCAGTATTCCCTTCTTTTGATTGAGGGGCTCAAGTCAGCACGGGGGGTGGGGGTGGGGGGGGGTGGGGGTGGGGGTGGGGGGGGGGGGGGGTCTGCCCCCCGAAAGCATAAAAAGTGACACCCCTGATCTTACTGGTATGATCATAGTCATGCACCTTTAAGATTGGGGACGAATCAGAGCTGGAGGATCAAATTTAACTCTGGAACAAGCAGCCTGACCTGAAAATGGCTTTTGAACAGAAAAAACGAGAAAACGTGCATCTTACGGGCAAAACTGGATGAAAATGGCATTCCGAGAAAGTTGGAGCGGACATGTCCACAGCCCCCTTTCCCTCCCAGTGGTTACGCCCATTCTTGTCCCCTGACCGTATGTTCCCTATGGCGGCGAAGCCATGATTTCGCCCAGCAGCAGGCCAAATCGGGGCACTGGGGCCCTTTTAGCCAACGGATCCCACTTCGTCGCCGTAGGGACCCTGCTTTTGGATTCGGAGCCTTAGGCTCGGATGCAACCTCGTTGGATGCCTAGGGCCATTTTTTATGTTTTGGAGGCCCTACGGGTGACTTCAGTTGCCAGTAATTTCTGGGGCATTCGGCTCTCGGGGGTCCTCACCACCTTCAGACCGGGTGAGGGGTCATGATCCCCGAATCTCCATCTGCGTGCGCCACTGCGGAACACGTGGCACCGCCTGCTCCATGCCGTGTTCTGTGATCTCCTTGCGTTTGACAGGGACTCTTCTGTACGCTGTGGCGGTCCAGCTCTTACGCTCTCCCTGAAATCGCTTTGTGTTGTCAGACCCAACCGTTACACTTCGGAGATTGCGGGGAAAATGTGGTTTCACCGTGTTTATAAAAAACAACGCCACGCGGGCATGTTAACATTTTTTAGTGGGAATGGTGTGGTAAGGCTGCTTACAGTTCCACGGCTTCCAGAATGTCTGGGCGTGATAAATAATCAGTAAACGTGTTGACAAACGCTAAAATTTGCACTGTCTACTGGTTCATGTTTTATGTAATGGCTGAAATGGCTACGAGCGAGGCCGCAGCCGGTAAGCCGCGTGTGTACTGTGATAAAATATTCAGCTGAGTGTCGCGGCCCATTCTAGTCGCGGATCGCGGCCCAACTACGGCCTGGTGGATCGTAGCTGCCCTTCTCTCTGGCCGGGGTCGCAATGCGCTGTTTCTGATACGCTGAGGGAGGGGGAGAGGAGAAAGGAAGAACCGAGGAAAGAGGGGCAGCGTTTTCGTCGCCTTCGAGTGCTATATAGACGATACGCCTTCTTCGCTGCAGGCGTTTCCTTGAAGAAAAAGCAGCTGTGGACGCTGCAGCCGACCGGACAGCGCGACCACGTGAGCCTGCGCTCCCACCTCGGCAAATACCTGGCCGTCGACAGCTTCGGCAACGTCACGTGCGAGGCCGACGAGCTGGAGCCGGGCGCCGTGTTCGAGATCGCCGTGGCCGACGACGGCAGTGGCCGCTGGGCCTTTAAGAACGTGGAGCGGAAGTACTTCTTGGGCGCCGGCGGCGATAAGCTCCTGTGCAACGCCAAGACACCCTCAGACGGAGAGCTTTGGTGCGTTGCTGGGAGGGGCCGTGGATGACTAATGGTTGGTTGGGTGGGGATTAATGACAGGATGTCGGAGGTGCTCCTGCGACTAGCCTTGCTTTACAGCTCGAGGATGACCCGCTTTGTATTTCGTTAAGCCTACACTGACAGTGGAAGGAAATGCTGTTGTAGCGCTAAGAAAATCTAGTTGCGGTTAAAACTGTGTAGATATTGTTAACTCATTATTTAACATCAGAACGTGGTTGCGTTGAGGGGATCAAAGGAAGGAAATAGTATTTGCGTGGAGGGAAAGGGAAGGGAATTTAGAATGCACACAACTCGCCCGCTAACACCTCACATCACGGTGCAGCAAAGACGGGAAAGGCACCCTCTTGTGGTCTGCGTGTTCTTGCTTTGGAATTCAAACTCCGCTCGTCGTATGCCTGCGGTCGTCTCGCTGACGAGGCCCGCCGCTGGGTAGTACCTTCACCCGACGCCTGGTCACTGACGCCGCCTCGCCGTCGCCAGGTACATCCACCTGGCAGCTCGGCCCCAGGTCAACGTGTACAGCGTGGGACGCAAGCGGTTCGCGCACCTCTCCGAGTCCCTGGAGGAGATCCACGTGGACGCCAACATCCCCTGGGGCGAGGACACGCTCTTCACGCTCGAGTTCCGCGACAACCACTACGCCGTGCACACGTGCAACAACCTATACCTGCACCGCGATGGGCGACTGCAGAGCTCCTGCTCCGAGGACTGTCTCTTCGCCATCGAGTACCACAACGGCAGCCTGGCGCTGCGTGACCGCTCAGGCCGCTACCTTTCTCCCATCGGCTCCAAGGTGAGCTGACTGTGCGTTGGGTCACGCTGGAGGCAGATACCGCTTCACCGCCGTCTCTAGCTCTAGTTCACTAGTTCTTGGGTCACAAGGGAAACAGCTGCCACTCCCTGATCGCCTCAGATGTGAGGTCACTGCGTCATGGGTTGCAAGGGAAGCAGCTGCCACTCTGTCAGCGGCTTTGAAGTGCACTGTGCACCTTCAATATCGCGATGGAGGCATGGGGCGAAGACCGCTTCTGCACCAGGCATTTAGCCAAAGTTGTCCTCATGGAAAAGCTAAATGTCAAACGTTCTCCGAAATGCTGTAAGTTTAGATCGAATTTCCGAGAACTTGCCCATGAGCTAATGTAGAGCTGCTGTTATAGCGCGGTGGCACTGCCCTTGGTTACGCCCCTGGTCTGCACTGGTGCTCCGTGCCAGACTTCGGCCTAGTCCTGACGTGTCGGGCACCACACAAGGCTGCCTCCACGTCGTCGCCTGAAGGCTGACCTCTGTCTTCTGACGGCGTCGGCAGGCCCTACTTAAGACACGTGCCCAGGCAGTGACTAAGGACGAGCTGTTCTCGCTGGAGAACTCTCTGCCCCAGGCCTGTTTCGGCGCCGTGCTCAACGACCGCTACGTCAGCGTCAAACAAGGTCAGCCCGGGTCACCGCGAAGTCGTAACGGAGTCAGCTCCGGGTTAGCGGGAGATCGCAACGGGATCAGCTCCGGGTCAGCATGAGATCACAGCGGGATAACAACGGGCTCGACGTGGGGAAAATGTCTGCAGTTTCGGCAGTGCACTTCCTGTTCAGGCCGGGGATGGCCCGTGGTAGAAGGCTTTTGGGAGAGGGGGCCATTCCTTGCCACGATACTCCGCCCTCGGGTACGATCCTCCATCGACGGAAGGGTATGCGTAAAGTCGCATCGAGCGTTGCACTGAGACGTCGCAAAGCTGCATCGGGCGTTGCCCTGACATGTCGTAAAGCTGCATGGGGCGTTGCCCTGACATGTCGTAAAGCTGCATCGGGCGTTGCCCTGAGATGTCGTAAAGCTACATCGGGCGTTGCCCTGAGACGTCGTAAAGCTGCATCGGGCGATGCCCTGAAGCGTTGCAAAGCTGCTTATGGCGCTGCCCTGAAACGCCAGTATTCTATTCCACCTCAAGACACTTTCGTGGCTCGAATACCCTTGGGCGGACGTCGCTTTCAGCTGGCGTTGACTGGTGGAGAACAGGCGGCACATTGCACAAGGTAACGTCGCTGTCCTTGTCGGGCGGCGATGTTAGGCACATTGGTGCGCCCACAAGAGCAGTTCGCGGCCACGGAACTAACGTAAGCCACCATGCTCCAGAGTGCCCAACCAACCAAAGGATCAGGGTCGCATCGGAGACCCCAACGGCGTGGTTTTTCCCGCCGGTATCCGCGGCTTCTCCGTGGTGACCTGGGCTCGTGGACGCCTCGCTTCGCCAGGCGTTGACGTGACGGCCAATCAGGAGGAGGTGGGAGAGCACGAGCGCTTCCTGATGGAGTACGACCTGGCCACGCGACGCTGGTACATCCGCACCATGCACGACAAGTACTGGACGCTCGGCACCGCCGGCGGTATCCAGGCTGCCTCCGGGAAGAAGTCAGTCGACGTGCGACGCGAGGGGAGATGGGTCGGATGGCTTTGTGGCACACTGTCTGCCGGACTTCCGCGCTGATGATGTTCATTGCGGTGATCTGATGGAATGCTTAGATGTGGGGCAAGGTCGATTTGGGTGATCGTTGTTTGCCAACGTTAGTCTGTAATCGATATGTTCTTACGTTTATTCTCACCAGCTGTAGACTGTAGCAGGATGTTATTTATTTTGCTACCAAGTTTTGAATCTTTGCGATGTTTTCCTCACCTCGGATCTCAGATGCATAGAGCGTGATCGTAGAAAGGCGTCTTTCTTGCTCTTTTACTTGCTACTTGGGATCACCGCCTGTGCTTTGGAGGTATATTGAGCTCACTCGGGTGCCTTTACGCCGTGCGACTGCAGGTCGTCCAACAGTCTGTTTGACCTGCTGTGGCACCGCAATGGCACTGTCTCCTTCCGGGCCAACAACGGCAAATGCCTGTCCACCAAGAAGTCCGGACACCTGTTTGCGAACTCGGAGGAGAACGAGGAGTCCGCCAGGTTTTACTTCTACCTCATCAACAGGTGAGCACCATGTGCGGTGGATGCCCTGTTCGAAGTTGTGGGCTGCGGTGACAGAAATGGGACACAGCGAAGCATGTATTGTTTTACTTCTGCTGTGACAGACACTTAAAATAGACATTTTTTAGTTGATCTGTTCTTCAATATCAGCAATGCATTTCCCAACACCTTGCAATTAAATGGTTTCTCACGTTTATCTTGTTCTTCAACGCTGTCTTTGTTAGCCTTCTTGTTTACCTTGTTGTCAATTTTGTTGTTGTTCACAGGCCTGCTAGCTCAGAATCATTGCTTCAAAATGCTCTTTCAAACGTGCATGGCTGTGCAAAGAGTGAAAGGGTTTCACAAACATCGCGTAGTTGGATTATCTGGTATGGGGTCTATGCCTTGTGCAAGAAAAACCCACATGTATCATGAACGCTGGATGTTTTTCAGACCTATCTTGGTTCTCAAGTCTGAGCAGGGCTTTGTTGGCTACAAGAGCTCCAGCACCACGAAACTGGAATGCAACAAAGCGTCTTATGAGACAATTCAAGTGGAGAGGGGGCAGCGTGGACAGGTCTTCTTCAAAGGCGAGTGACGCACTGAATCGTTCGTCACGAACGTCTACGCTTTCCGGAAATAGTGTTACCGTCGAGAATGTGAAATACTGGAGCACTTGGCAATAGTATTGCCAGTCTTCATCTGTAAAGATATGATTTGGCTGTCGTTTTCGGTGCTTGACAAGGAAGGCTAGCGTCAAACACTTGTGATAGCGACTTTATATCCCGTAATGAATGCTACATGCAACTCAGAAAAGCGTCAGTCCGGCATAACCTGGGCGGTACTACGGCCACCACCAGCCAGCCGTGCACAGTACGTGCAGTCCTCTACCCCTGCTGACAGCGTCTCCGCGCGCAGGCCAAAATGGGATGTACTGGACGCCCGACGATGGGGTGTCAGCTTCCAGCCGTGAGCCGTACCCCTTCTACCTGGAGCTGCGCGAACCCACGCGCATGTGCATCAAGGACGAACAGGGCGCCTACCTCTGCGCGCAGAAGAACGGCTCCTTCCGGCTGGACTCGACCGATGCGGACCGCGCCACCTATTGGGAGTTTTAGACACTAGAGTTGTGGAAGCGGCCACGCCGCGACGCTGCGAGCGGGATTAGGTGCCAACGCTGGGGCGGGAAGAGCGATCGAGTGCAGGGCGGAGCGCTGGGTATGACACACCGTCTCACGGAGGCGATGGTCGAAGGGTGTCGCGAGGCAGGAACGGCGTCCTCTGCAGCGTCCTGGGCGTAGCTTTTCGGCCAACGACGCGGGCTTATGATCAAAGTGGCCGTTTCGGGCGTCAGTTACTCACCGACGGAAGCAGACATATTGCGCATGTGGGAGTGTTTCTGCTCGGGTGTTGGCGTGGACGTGTATAGAGGCCTGGCCACCGTGCGTTGTGACGAACTCGAGCTGCTTTTGTACGTTAGTAGATACTGGATATGGGACACGCTGGTCCGCTTCACGGCTTTGGACCGTTTTAAAAGGCTACGTTCGCGGAGGACATGATCGTGATTTGTAACACGTAGCCTCTAACTTCTCAAACCAAAGGTCGGGTAAGTAAATAGGTTGTCCGGGGTTGTTGACTGCTTTGTTTTTGAAACCGTGTACAGTCCATAAAGGCTGAGTTGGCGTGCTCCATCGCAAGCATGCCATGCATTTTGTTTATATTTTTACGCCCTCACATGATGCGCCTTTATTTGATACTGGTGGTTCTTCAGTACACCGCGACACCTCTTGTGGCGAGCTACGATTTCAATAAATGAAACAGCGCCGCTGCACTTTTTCTGTAGCGCAAGCCACGAGAGCTCAGCAAACAGCTGACAGAAGAGACGCTACATCTTCTGACAGCTCACGCGTAACAGAACATGCTGGGGACCTGCACTTCGGTCGAGAGAAACGTTGCAGTGAGCACCACTAGGGCGTCAGATTTGGTAAATTTTGGGGAGCCGAACCGAGGAAACGACGACTAAACTCGCGCAAGCGTTTGTTTCTCAAGGGTTTTAGCCGACTCGTTTTTGACCCCGGCGTTACTTGCATTGGCCAACGCCGTTCGGTTTTACGAAAACTGAAACCGAAGCCATCGCTGCCCTTGCTCCCGAGATCGCAGGCGTGTCATTATGACTTCGCAACGCACTCAGCCGCCGTGGCTATATGGTGTCGCCTACCTCTCACACTGGCGGGAATGGCGGACAACGCGAGGAATCGAACCCCGTACCTTTGGTTACCGAGAGGCGCCGTGGTCCAGGCAGGCGCGTTAACTACTACGCTATCAGCACCCGGCGCGCGAGCTCGAACCCTTCGATGCCATTTCTTTTACTAGCCGATTCTGCAAAAGAATGAGCACTCTCAGGCAAACATGGGATGGGCTCGTGCGTTTTTGAACTCACTTCGACTCACTCCATTGGATTTCAATGAGATCCCTCATTTTTTCCGACAAAGGGTAGAACTTAAGTAAAACACTTCGGAGCACATTTTTGTTCCCGGACAGGGGCTGAAGAGCCATTCTACCCCACCGCGGTGTGTCCTCCGGCCGTCATTTTGGCCACACGAGCGGAATCCCCTGGCCGATGCGGGGCCCTCAGCAGGATGCGTCACATCACGTTGGTCCGCTCCCTAACCCGGGAGGCCGTCTGACCCACGTGGTTGACCCCGGATCCCCGCGTGAGCCGCCATTGACGCAACAACATCTCTGCTCGCCGCAGGGGGTCAAGTAACTGGCACATAGACTCCAGTTAGGCTCAACGGGTCACGCTGAAATTATCTGATATTTGGGCCCATATTGTAGGTCCATATCGACTCAGTGGGCCCCTGATCAGCACGCGGGGCCCTCTGGCTGGCATTGGGGTGCCCGGCCCTTCGGACCAGGGCCCCTGAATGCGACCTCCGGCCGGTCTTTTGAGCCTTTCGGGCCCTCAAATCGGGCCATGAATCGAAGGTTCCGAGTGGCCCGAAAGGCGCGTGCGCGCGCGCTCGTGTGTGTGTGTGCGTGTGTGTATGTGTGTGTTTATGTCATAACATTCATTAAAAAGAACCTCATCTTAAAGTTTTGCGTGCACCGAAGGTATCTGCTTCTCTTGTGAACGCAAAACCGTGGAAATATTCCCGTAGGAGATCACCCCTGATCAGAATCGTCAAAAAAATTCGTTGGAGGCCACCTAATGCCATACCCTGGAACTACCCCTGTGCACGTCATATACTGAAATCTTGACACAATACATCGAAGATATTTGTAGGAGACGCCTAAATTTCAGCAATCTGGCCTAAATTTTAGCGATCTGGTACAAATTTCAGCAATCTGGCCTCCATTTCAGCGATATGGCCTGCATTTCAGCGATATGCTCCACAACGTTTTGGAGAAAGCAGTGAGCAAATCCAGTGGGGTGAAATCTGTGACAGGCACTTTAAAAAGGGTTGACTCCTTCCATAATAGGGAAGGGGAAAGGATGATGCGACCCATCTCGTAAGGTTTCCTGCTGATATCTCTTCGGCATTTCGTGCGATTTTACTCAAATTTTCTATACCTTACAGGACTATCCTTGCACGCATGTTGTCACTAAACACATGTATCTAGCGTTGCTGATTGGTGTACATCAGCAGTGTAGTCCCCAAAGCAAGCTCCGGCAATGTGCCCAGAACGTTATTAAACCACCAAATGATTTGATAATCCTTGTAAGCCGTCGGTCAACTGCTGGCCCGTCTGGTAATCACCGAATAGCATGTATTTCCGTGTGAAGTGCGGCTGCTCTAACGCCCATGGCATGAGTTGAAGGGTAGTCCAAAATTATTTGAGCCGCCACAGGCTTGAAATGTACCTGGCTGCGGCAAACAAAAAGCTGGAAAACTTGCATAAACGCGAGAATTGATGTGACGCCTACCTATGGTGTGCGAATGACTGCATGGTCACAGGAGGCGCCAAAATGTTCCCATGGAAGTGTCAAATATTTGTGCATGGAAAGCAATGAAAAAATGATAGGAATCCGGCACCCAAATATATCTTGTTTCTCGTCAGTTGCCCAACATGCAGGTGGATATGAAACCCACGCGCACGTCGTCGAACTGACTGCAGTTCGTTGACCGATCCCTCAGGGGCGCCACTGTCTATGCAGCAAACGAAGGACAAGGAATCCGTGCACGGCCTGATGCCTGTCTCAGCAATTGTCCTCATCTTGGCTCAGTTTGTGTTGGACATTCGACTGAAGATGCATTCCATTTGGGTTCCATGTCAGATGCCAAGGTGTTCCGTCCAGGGACTGCCAGCTGCCGTCAGTGACCTCGTCATGGACGCCCACCCAGAAGTTGAAGATGGTGCCAGCCTGTACGGCATAGGCGGCCAGAATGGCGTCCATACCGGGCTTCTTTGGATGACCCAGCCCGGCGCCGTGAACCAGCTGGCCGCAGTGCTGGTCCGCCTGGTGGAAGGGCAGCGGCTGGGACACGAACAGGCAGCAGTGGGCGTCGACGTCCAGCCAGTTGGGGGACAGCCTAGCAGCAGACCCCTTGGCTGGCGGGGCTCACATACCGCTCGCCTCGTAGCAGCGCACAGGCGGTAGACGACTTCGTCTACGTTGTGCAGCTCGCAATGAGTAGGCAAATGCCCCAACCATTACCCAGTGTTTTGATCAGGAAGCTCACAAATGCCCTGTTGAGTTGGTCCCAGGCGGCATCTCACAAATGCCCTGTTGAGTTGGTCCCAGGCGGCATCTCACAAATGCCCTGTTGAGTTGGTCCCAGGTGGCAGCTCACAAATGCCCTGTTGAGTTGGTCCCAGGTGGCAGCTCACAAATGCCCTGTTGAGTTGGTCCCAGGTGGCAGCTCACAAATGCCCTGTTGAGTTGGTCCCAGGTGGCAGCTCACAAATGCCCTGTTGAGTTGGTCCCAGGCGGCAGCTCACAAATGCCCTGTTGAGTTGGTCCCAGGCGGCATCTCACAAATGCCCTGTTGAGTTGGTCCCAGGTGGCAGCTCACAAATGCCCTGTTGAGTTGGTCCCAGGCGGCAGCTCACAAATGCCCTGTTGAGTTGGTCCCAGGTGGCAGCTCACAAATGCCCTGTTGAGTTGGTCCCAGGTGGCAGCTCACAAATGCCCTGTTGAGTTGGTCCCAGGTGGCAGCTCACAAATGCCCTGTTGAGTTGGTCCCAGGCGGCATCTCACAAATGCCCTGTTGAGTTGGTCCCAGGCGGCAGCTCACAAATGCCCTGTTGAGTTGGTCCCAGGTGGCAGCTCACAAATGCCCTGTTGAGTTGGTCCCAGGCGGCATCTCACAAATGCCCTGTTGAGTTGGTCCCAGGCGGCAGCTCACAAATGCCCTGTTGAGTTGGTCCCAGGCGGCAGCTCACAAATGCCCTGTTGAGTTGGTCCCAGGTGGCAGCTCACAAATGCCCTGTTGAGTTGGTCCCAGGTGGCAGCTCACAAATGCCCTGTTGAGTTGGTCCCAGGCGGCATCTCACAAATGCCCTGTTGAGTTGGTCCCAGGCGGCATCTCACAAATCCATCCGGAGTTGGTCCCAGGCGGCAAGTTTGTGCCTCCGAACCATTCTTTCCATGCAGGACGTCTCGCGTGGTGCAGCAAAAATGCCGTCTCCAGCTCGTCGTTGACGGGCGCCACTTCAGAGCATGCGCCTGAGTCCTTGCAGGAGGGGCCGTTTTCTCTAGCGAGTTGATCGATGAGCTCCTTATGTAAGTAGCAGCTGCTGTTGAATGCAGTCCAGCCGGAGGCGCAGAAGGTCGTGACCCGAGTGACTGCCCGCCGGGAGTAGCTGCGTTGCTCCAGCTCCAGCAGCAGTGCGTCGGTGAGCAGACAGTGGTGCGGGTCCACCAGCAGCTCGCACAGGCCCCCCGGCCCGTGCCGGAAGCCGTCGCAGTACTCGGGCCCCAGGCGGCCGCAGCGACGCGCTCAATTCAGCTGGCGGCTTGGAAAGAAGAGAACACGGCGTTGGTGAATTCCCCCGATAAGATCGCAGAAGTCGCTGGTTTAGCCCGCGGCGAACGCTGGTAAAAGACTCCACATTTCCCACGCCCTTCGGGGGGGGGGGGCGGGGGGGGGCAACCGAAGACCCGACAACCTACCCGCCATTTTTTCTGACCGGATTTTTAAATGTTTGTATGATTTATAAAAAAAAATGTTTCATTAAAGCAGTGTAGAAGTCATGCAGGGTTGGATAAAGGGAGCAGGCACTGGACGCACGCGTCTCTTCCAATCGGCACGTGAAGGCCACCTCAGAGGCTACCTTTAGGCCACCTTTAGAGGCCACCTTAGGGCGCCGATGACACCTGTCGATGACGGTCATAGGAGGCGGCACGCATTTGGGTTCTAGGGGGTGGGGACGGGATTAGCCATGAAGGACTTAGGTCATCCCCATATTCCAGAGCTTTTCACTTTAACCTCACAAACCACTGCATGTCTTGCGGCGCTAGGTGTGTGAAACTTATTGCATCGTTTATCTACTCAACTGTTACGATTTGCATCTTGTAGTGAGAGCAACCATGACTTTTTGTTATGAGAGTGGTGCACGGCGCCACCGCTCAGAAAAATCAAACGAGATAGTCTTCGTGTTATGCTTATCTTTTACCAATGTTTTTTTTAGTTTTCCAGCCAAAAACATTGGAGGGGCCTAGCCAACATTGGGGGACCCAAGTTAGCACTGGGGGGGGGGGGGGACAGGGCCTTAACAAAAGAATACAAGTCGACACCCATGGCTGCTTCAATTTTAGTAAAATGTCTACATGTTGGATATTTCAGTATGTAGTCTACTGCGTATTTCGTTGCAGCGAGGTTCCAA